CTGAACTGTTCTCTAAAATGTTCCGCCCATCGTTCTAAACGTCTGGACTGGGAGCAGATGAGAGTGTCGTCTTTTTCCGAAATAATCTCACTTACACTTGACTTATTAATTCCAGTTTCTTTTATTAGTCTGTAGAGCTGTCTTGTGTTCCCTATAGTCGCCGCCTTTTCCATCTCCTTTGCTTTCGTTGACCACCACTGCTCACGGTCGTTCCTTAGACTTTTTCTTAACCTAGATCTGATTTGTTTACGCTCTTCATCGTGTTCAGAACCTGATAGGATGAGTTTACGAGAATCCATCAGTGTGATAGACCTTGAAGAAATCAATTGGTTCTTTGTAACTCTGTGGTTTAAGTCGCTAATAGATGTCACTGCTGTTTCCACAGCAGTTTGTATAGCTTTCCAGAATGAGCGACAATCTTCTACCGACCCTCTCCAACGATGACTGATGGCAATATGGTCTATTTGAGGCCATCGTTGGTTTGGTGTAGGGGGTCGCCATGTTAGACGATGTCTCTCCTTATGCTTAAAATTTGTGTTTGCTAAAAATAAACGATTGTCTGAGCACAGTTGCAGCAGACGATCACCATTATCTGTTCGTTGTGCCGGTATACTAAAATACCCACCTAAATGCCTTTCTGTTTGGTTTAAGCTACCTATCTGAGCATTAAAGTCACCTGCTACGAGTACTATGTCTGAGCGTTTAGCTTTCTGAAGAAGTTCAGATAGCTTTCTGTAAAATTCATCTTCCACTTCATCTGAGCTGCAGTCAGCGGGAGCGTACGCAGAAACGACGAAAAGGCAACGACGTGTGTCCCTATCCTTCCGAGTTCTTACGGAGCCGTTTAGCCGAACAGCACATAGACGACTGTTGACGGGGATCCACTCTAACAGTGCTTGTTCCGCCCTCATGCTTAGTGCTATGCCTACACCTGCCAGTCCACGAGAAATGGCCATCGGGTCACCAGATACACGTAGGGTGTATCTCGTTGGCTCTCCGTTTTGCCGAGGTGAGGTCAAGTGAATGACCACACTGGAATCCTGTATGCGTGTTTCGGAGACACAGCATATATCAATGGAAAGAGACTCTAGGGTTTTAGCCAAGGAATTTGCTGACCGATTTGACATAGAGTGAGTACGTTGAAGGCTCCAATGTGTAGTTTGGAGCGAGGTTTCAGTAGACCTGGGACAGAGTTTTGAGCACTAGAATCGTTGGCTATGGTGACACTTGAGGAGGAAGCCGAAAAGGAAGTTTAGAGTTGAAAGTCGATGTAGGAGCAATAATAGGAATTGAAGATGGAGGTTGATTATGAATACAGTGGTCTTGAGTGCTGTTAGAGGTATGAGGGCGGTTATCACTTCCCGGTTGCCCACACCGTGGAAGGGTTCTTCTGGAGGTACCTGAAAAGGAAATTGGATTAGAGGCGGTCTCAGTGACCTGAGAGCGTGACCGCAGTGCCCAAGGGACAACTGCTTGAGGCCGGTCGCGTACGGCCTTTTTGTGGAAGGTTTTTGACGTGTTAGCTCCGTTCTTCAAAGGGCCTTACCGCCGGAGACGGAAATCCGTGAGGTAAGGTGAGGTGTGCATTTTTAGGGTCGACCTTTTCTAACCCAACCCCTCCTTGTGGGAAGGCAGCATCGCTGTCATGCTGGTTGTCTGAAGGAAACACCTTACTGCTGTCACACCTCTGTACAGTCAGCAGTACGACTTCGCCTTCGGACCTTGGGTTTGTTGCTTTTAGTCTTACCGCTCTTCAACCGACCTGTCTGACATGGTAGGACCTTGAGGAACGGTTGTTCCAGCCAGTATAGCTCGGCTGCTTCATCACGATAGGCAAGCCCGACCACCACGTCAAAGTAGCAACAACGGTCGGGTGATGAAGAGGAGTAGTATTCTAATAGGAGTCCAAGTTCAGTTTTTATGAATGATGTAAAATAAAACCACAGTAGAATCGCAATTGGTCTCTATTGCGAGCTATATTTGATAACATATCAAGAGATTGAGTTCGATCATCTCTAGAATCCCAAGCCAGGAAGTTATAATAAACTGACAGATCCCAGATTTATACAGCTTGATTTCGTGATAGACAAACATTATCAACATAGAACCTAGAACAAATATGGTCTGGTCAAGGTTGCCATACCTGATTACCACGATGAGATGAAAATAACAAAATAGACCGAAATAATGTAACAGGAATGATAAAAAAGACTAAACCATAGGAATGACTTAAGATGCCAAGGTGTAAAGGTATGTACGAAGGGACACTGGAATTCAAGATCGAGGGGGAGATAAGGAGTGAATGCATTTTCGTACTGTGAACGATTCTCCCATACTACGACACCATGCTGTAAACGACCACCTCACTGTTTTTGCCATCGCACCCGAACATCCGAAGATGATGCACGTGTGAAAGCCACTAAGATGGAATTCGCAACACATGTCCAGATCATTAAAGTTGGTGTGTGAAGATGGTGAACTATCGTTACAGTACCTGAATTCACGTTGCCGAACCCCAGCATTATTAATGCAAGTTGTTACTGGATGTCAGCAGTTCTTCGAAGATAACAGTAATGAGACACAAAGAGTCTCTGGGCATGACCAACTGAAAGAGGCCAGATCACACGCTGTATAGACAGGCTAACAAATCAAAGTCCCATGTTTGGATAAAAAATCTATCCAGCGCTTCCTGTTTTTCAATGGTTGGTTGGTGTTAATCCATAATATAAACTATACAATTCAACAACCTCTACCATCCTCTTATACTAAAAATGAATATAGTATGAATTATAGAAAGAAAGAAAGGAAAAAGAGAAAAAAGAATATATTTTATGTTAAAGTTACTTTAGAGGAAAAAAACACTGATATAGTTATCAGCAACAAGTGTTCAGACTTCGTGGCAATTACGTTTCTAAAAACAATATTTGTGTTTCTTCACACATAGAGCAGGTTATAATGACTTCATACTCGTGATGGATAGTTGTGAATAAGATATTTAAAGAAGATGAAAGATTAATTTATAGCTTACGAAAAAAATATAAATAACATGCGTGAAAGCTGACTTCGATAAGTTTTTCTACTGAAAAAAGATAATTTGAGCAAATTAGTGTTGTAATTACCAAGATATGAAAATGTCTATATGCTAACTTAAGTCCTTTTTATTCTTTCATGCATAAAAAGGTTGTCAGTACGTTGGTCTGAAACATTGTTTTCAATAGGACGAAGTAAAGAAAAAACAAGCATAATTCTTAATATTTTCAATAGTGGCTAGCAGTGGGATACACAAAGCGCTTTTCGTCCTATTTAGGACTAGTAAATTACATGTACTCATTTATCATAATATGAATGTTCACACTAAGACGTAAACCTAGAATTTATCATCTTAAACACCTGTTATGAGTATTGTTCACTAAGCTAAAGGAATTAAAATCTCATAACCAGTTCAACAACCATGAACTTAATTACAACTGCAAAGGTTGCCGTCGATGATAGAGAATGAGTTTGATCGTTTTCTGTTAACGTATAGACACATTTTGATGGAATGCACTAAAATACTGTCGATATTCATAAATGAACCATAGTTTGTATGGACGAAATTCGAGTAATGGATCTCACTGCTAGTCAATGTACGAATTATAATTATATGTAAGTGAAGAAAGTATCGATCACTTTTAGAGAGCCTATACCCCAAAAAAAACTGTTCAAAATTAGTTTAGAATATCAACAACGAGAAAACGCTTACAAATAATAATAATAAAGTATAGTTGATAGCTTTTGGAAAAATATTGATCAGATCATATTTTACATAAATAAAAAAATGCCAATACTAATAGTTTTTCATTTAAACTAGTCAATTAAAAAATTAATAGGTAAACTAGAAGCAATAACCCACAGAACTGAATTTCGAATCCTGCTAAGACTCATATTTTGTATTGCCATCGAATCATTCAGTGTACATTTTTGAAAAAATGTCGTAAAAGTCAATTGTGAACAACTTAAGCGATTTTACAAACAGTTAATAATTTCACAAGGAATACAGATTAGTATCTTTTCGGTAATTATATAAGCAATAATCACTTTAGAGTTTTTAGTATTTATTTATCTTTATCTGTAATACAATTTGTAGAGCAGTGTGTTTGAAACCCGACTTACTAACTTTACTTCCTAGCAGATAAATAGAATCACACTCACTGATCCAAAAACAAACAGAAAATGTAGTGATAATATGATATTATAACAACCCTAAGTGGTTGATTAGCCAATCAAAAAACAGGGTTTGGTGACAAATCAATTTGTGGTTAAAGAAACATTAAAATTATGATAGATTAATAGTACCAAGGTGATAAATAAATGGAAAAAGATTAGTATTACGGATTGGAAGACCGGTTACAGTCAAGAGTTAAGGTTAAGAAGTTGTGTTTAAAAACATAAGGGTTAGAACATTCCGTGAACATTCGAGAATACCTTATAATCACAAAACTACTCCTGAATATGCCCTGAATCACATCATGCACGCTCAAACACAATCTGCATATGGAGCACGCATTTCTGGTCATTTACATTGCACACTACGTTAAATCCAAAAACTTTAGAAACTAATCATAACCAGGTTTTTTTAACATACTATTCTTAACTGAACTTTTAATTTTCGCTAAACGTTTTGCAAGAGCAACCTCAAATTTGAATGGTTACCTAAAGGTATTCGCTACAAAATGGATTTATGAGTGTAGCTCAAAGCTCATATTTGATAGATGTGTTACATAAACATTATGTATATATTTCATAATAACTGTAAAAGCTTTTAGAAATATTACATGATTTTAAATACACCATTTGAATAGTCTAGTAGAGTTTGCAGTAAAATTTATAACCACTTATAAATAAAATGAATTCGTATCCATTTCACAGTAAATCACATGTCAAGTTCTATGATGAATAAATAAATCATATACATATGAAGAAATGGAATATTATTAAAAAATATACAATATTTAGCATACCATCACAGAAGAACAAGTCCCATATTCTTAATACAGCTGTCCAAGGTAAAGTTCGTGTGTAAGCGCACATGAACCATTCCAAAACGACAAGATTTGGTTCCACTGAATATTTTCGCTACAAAAATTGTTTGGAAATAAATTTTATGAATACCGACTTAAAACAATACAGATAGATAGATAAAAAACTTATATAAGATGATGTTATGATCTCTCTTATAACGACCCAGCTACTCTTATCGCTTACTATTCTTTGGACATCATTTCACTTGACAATTCCCTCAAATAAGAATACATTTGAACAGGAACGTAATTATATTTCGAATGAACAAAGGTTGAGTGGAAGTAAAACAATGCGTTACTATATTTATAAATTTTACATAAGCAGATTCTAAAGTCTTTTCCAAATTCTGTACGGAACATCCTTTAATCTAATCTATATCCCGCTAACAGATAACAATGGTAAGAAAAAGTTAGAATATACTACAGATATCACTGTTAGCTCATTTACCAGGTATATATTTATGTACTTAACTTGGAGCTACATCTTCAGTGTGAAGCTTAGTTATATTACCCAGCTGCTCAAGCCAGACTAAGTAGAGCAGGATTTGAAGTATGACAGAAGCCAATAGTTTGGACGCAATCGGAAGAAGACTTATTCCCTTATAGTTGTTATAGAAACGACGTGAACCCTTTTTAAAGATAGGGACAACTATCGACTCATTCCACGATATTGGAACACTCTCTAACTGCCAAAGGTTTGTAAACAACTCAGTCAGTTCCTTAACCAGAAAGTCACCATAATCTTTAAAAAGGGTCGGAGGTAAGTCATCTGGGCCCGGTGATTTGTAGCGCTTCAAGAGTTGGAGATCCTTGCGGATTTCCGCCTCATTTGGTGGATCAGTCGTCACAGGCCACAGAGGGCAGGACAGTCTGACCAATGTTGCTGGGGCATCAGACCACTTGAATTGCTCCTCGAAAAACTCTGTCCATCATCCAAGACGTCGATAGATGTTAGTGATTGCTATCCTGTCGCCTTCACAGATTGTTCCGCTCACACTAGCTGCTGCTTCCAACTCATTGACACGCTCCCACCACCAGGCTTCTTGGTCTTCACGCAAGCTTTGTCCAAGTTCATTACGTAATATCCTTTGTTTGTGGTCAAACTAACGGTCACCCGGAGTAGACCGCCAGGCTTCAATGAGTTGTAAGGAGCCTGTAGAAAACCAGTACCTATAAGCGGGACGTTTCGCGAGGCCGAAAGAGACTCTACTCTCCATTTTCATGGCGTCATGCAATTGTAATCAATACTCATCTATACTTTTTGGTGGGATGGTAGCTAGCCCTGAACCTAACTCGTTTCGATATTTAGTTTCAACAGAAGCTGCAACCAATTTGCTGACATCAATTAATTTAGCACGATGAATTTGTTAGCCATTGAAACGTAAGATAAGACTAGTGCACACACGAGCATCATTAGAGTCTAGATAGGTAGTCCAAAAGGAAAAGCAGTCCTATACACAACTACGCCATAGGTAGCTGATAGCGATATGATCAATCTCAGTCCGGGTTCGGGAAGAAGAGGGAGGACGCCAGGTAGCACAGCGGTGATGACTGTGCCGGCAGTCAGTGCTAGCCAGAAACAGTTTGTAGTCTGCACACAATTGCAGTAGATGGTCACCGTTATCTGATCTGCGACCAACAAGTCCTCATCGACCACCTAAATGACTGAATTCTGTGACTAGACTCTCAATCTGAGCATTAAAGTCTCTGGCTAGTACCACAATATCTGTCGTACGCACTTTCTGTAGAAGGACAGTTAGTTGATGGCAAAACTCATTCTTGATTGCACCTGGGCTGTAATCTGTTGGAGCGTAGGCGGAGATGACAAAATGACATCGTTTCTCACACCGATTTCTTCGTATTTTGATGGGACTCTCTAATCTAACAGAACATAACCGACTGTTAATGGAGATCCAATAGATCAGTGCTGCCTCAGCTCTAGCGCTTAGTGCGACACTAATACCAGGACAACCAGACGAAGATGCCATAGTCCTCCCGGATAAACGCACGTAAAACAAGCTTTTCGAAGCAACAGATGGAGAGTAAATTTGTAGTACTTCACTAGAGTCTTGATTACTGGTTTAGGATAGACAACAGAAGTCGATACTAAGACTTTCTAAAGACATAGCCAACCCTATATGTTGTCCGATCTGCACTAGTATGCGAACGCTGAAGGAATCCAGTTTGAATGGTGCACGTGGTTTCAGAAAGATTGTTACAGTATTCTTATGCGGTGGTAGCATTTAACATCCGACTAGTCGGTAACTCAAGATCGTTTAGATAGAACGGGGTTTCCACCATAGGCGAGCTGCTATATAAATTGAAAAACAAGGATACACAAAGTGAGAATAAAAGAGAGTAGATAAGTGACATAGTATATAAAAAATAAAAATGAATGTGAGTTGTCTGAACTTTAATTGGAGCGAGAACAGTATTTCCAGTAATAATTGTCATTTCATTTTATTTGTGTATGGACTGTGATACTGCCTAGGTGCCTAAACCGAAGCAGGTGGTTTTCTTAGGGGGCCACTCCCTTGACTTAAAGGTCTAATCCACAAGGCAGTGGAGCGACGTCAGGAGATACATTCCCATGGTAGCCGGTGACCAACAATTTGTTCATATGCCATTTGTTCCTTTAGGATCCTGGAGCCCATGTACACCATTGGTTTGGAATCAGGATTTTCCAACTCCCCTAGGTGGATCCTCTATATCCACCAACCCAGTTAAAGCGCCGGAAATTCGCCTTTCGTCCTTCCGATTTCGTAAGCAATACCCCACAGCGAGAAGGTAGTGAGTAGGACTTCCGTGGCAGTGAGTGCATACACATGGACATGTGAGAGCATTTCGAGGGGGAAAGCAAACTCTTTCCACCCTCGGCCGTACCAGGGCATCTGGGAGCTTGATCTTGCATAATTATTATTTTTCATTCTATGGTGTGATATAGTCTAATTTGCTTCTATGTACACCAAGTATGTCTGAAATATATGGTTCATACAGTGGAAGCTGAGGTTATGTTTTGGACTCAATGGGCAGGGCTAGACCAATAAGGATTCCGAGTTGACTCCAGGCTGCTCGTAATGGTTAACGCGTCATTGATTTGGCACATTGCCAAGGCCCTATAAGTCGTGTTCTAATTGGCGGTTCGGTCACGTGATGATTAACAGAGCACAAGTCATAACAAATGTATAATAACCGAATGTAAGTATAGAGTAGTAATTTAAAACTATAAATCTTACAATAAGGATGGAAGAGTCTAAATAACTTTGGAGCGACTGGTATTGTCATCCATGAACTTAAACGTGTGGCAATAGTAGAGGCATGCTATAAACTTTTGAGTTCACTATTTTTTAAATATGCAAATCTTTCAATACACGTTTGTGTATTAATTCGTTTCAGTTGATAGCCACCTAATCTACTGACACGTTTTTGAATTTAACAAGAGGTTTACAACAAATGACGAAGCTGATTACTGTCAGAGAAATCATTGGTAAATGAAGCTAGATTGGAAATTATACCTCAATAAAATTATGCAATGGGAAAGATTGTTGTGAAAGCAAAGTTAGTAGTAAACGCCTACGTATCGAAATGAATGACAGCCAGTTAGCGAATCATACATATATAAATTTTAAATAGAACAGGAACAATCTACAAAAAGCATATTTTGTGCAGAGAATTGTTCTCTTTAACCAAACATGGAGGAGTAAATAGAGTTATTATTAATAGTAGCATCTATTATTATCATTATTATTATCATCGGTATTCAGCTTTCAAGAATGAGAAAAACGTAGTAACAATTAATGGAGTCTACAGTTTAAATAGTTATCTCCCTGAAATGATTATCAGTAGTAAAGAACTAAACCATTCAGAAATTTTCATCCTGATCCACCTCTAACGTGCAAAAAGATGTATCAGCTGATAATTAGGATGACTACAAAGGAAACACACACGCACATAATATGGTCTGTTAATTAAGAAAATATACTAATAAAAGTGAATTTAGTAGATGATGACGTAAACATTAATGTATACTAATTAAAACGATATGTATTCTCTTGGTAATTATCAATATTAAGTCTAGTTCCTGTTTTTAAGCAACTATGTATTTCGCTACACTAAAAATGAAATGATGACTTGGTAGTAGCACCAGTGGTAATTGTAATAATACTAGACAAAGCAAGATTTATTCGGTAACTTTTAAGAAAATTAATTCATCCTCCATTTTTCTTAGGGAATACGAAACAACCACAGTAGAAGATAATTTAGTAAATCGCAAAAAAGCACATAATTTTCGCAACCGAAAACGATTAACCTCCAGTATTAATGAAAAAACTGAATGCACGATTTTTCGGAAGATTTACGATCGTCTACTCACTGTTCGTATGATTGCTAATAAAAACAATGTGTATTCACAAGATCGTAGAGCATAACATATAAGGACTTCCAGGTCCGTTTTAAACATTCGAAACAGGGGTGTGACAAGTGTATTGTCTACAAATGTTTTTCAATTCCAGACAAACAGTAAATTCATAGAACATTTGATTCAATATACAACTAAAGTTTAGCTCATTCTACTGAATAAGTTGATGCGTAAATCCTTTTCTGTTTTGTTTTGCAATGTTTACTTTTAAACTTTTCCTTCCAGTCATGTGAATATTGTGTTGTTTATCTAGCGAATAACTATGTCATTCTACTTTGATTGATAAACAAGGTCAGTAATGAAAAATAATAATGACAACAATAACAAAAACTTCTGTGTCAGTCAAGAAAGCAACCGATTGTATGTGAATAAAGATATAATTTGAAGAAAGATATTTTTCGTCACAAGCTGATGTTAACTAAACTAATGAGCTCTGTGAAATTACTTTGTCTTAGATTGAAACTTCACGACAGTATTCACACATAATTATACACTCATACAGGACTGAACCAAAGTACGGAATTTACCAAAAGCAGTGAAAAACTGCATTCACTAAAAGTAAAAATTTTTGATAATTCACTATTTTTAAAAACTAAATGAACTCAGCAAAATGGTTATTAAGAGAAATCCAACACATGTTTCAGAAAACAACTTACTAAAAATTTGTATATTGGAGGATGTATCGACTTAAGAAGCGCATATAAGACGTCCCCGTCAATTTGTACTCGTTCCTAAATGAGAAACAAAGAAGAAACCAGTAACTACACAAATATCATTAGCCATATTCTACACAATGAAACTTAATGACCAGGATCAGATTTATAAATCAGGCTCCAGGTCACACTTTATGTGCCTAAGATAGATTAGTGGGGTATTAGGCGGCTGGTCAAACCGGATCAAATAGAACGAGGTTTGAGTCTGAAACTTCACTGTGTGATATAAACCATAAATTGATCTTAGGCGCAACATCATTGAAAACCAAGAAGCTCCAAACGGTTTTGTCCTAGACTCAGACTCCACAACAGCGCGCGTCTAGGACCCCAACACCCGAAACTGAATCAAGAACCTACAGTCAAACACATAAACGCCTGAACTCTAAATAGTGAGACTTCATTATCGAATGCCGAACCCTTTAATCACTTAATATTTGATTCATCATTAGCTTTTATTTCGTATGGTGTTAATTTTGGCTTTTAACTAATCATAAAACATTATTTGTTTGAAAAGAACCAAAAGATTGTACTTTAATGTTCAACTGATGTAAAAACAATATAGAAACACAAATATCTTCTTTTTATTGCTTTTCAATTTAATCGACTTCAGTACACTCAGAAATACCAAAAAAATTAAACAAAACTGCATAAACCATAACTTACAAGACCATCATCATAATAAGATTCTAAATAACGTTCACAAATTTCATTGAAAGTCCAAAAGGCATCAACTTCCGGCATAAACATGAGTAGGACAGCTGCTAGTGGGGCTTGACCTTGACAGTAACCTTTCTCCGGATGTCTAATTGTATAAGCTTTTAGTAAGGTGTATAAACTTTCTTGACTAAAATAAAAGAATAAAATAATGAAAGACAGTAAGTTTTTGTATGGTATATATGTAGTGGCATTAGACCATAACCACACAATCTCCAAAGCTGAACACAAGACTACTCAGAAAACAGATATTCAATATTCAACACGGAGAAATACCTAACAATGGAGAAGGCGCGAAGAATGAATTGAATGTACTGGAGTTGATTGAGTGGCATGGCTCGGCCATGCAGGCGTGGTCTCTGCTGAATGTTACCTTATATCTTCTATTCATATTAAATATATTGTTCTTTCTCTAGCCTAACCTTGTTCTACATCATGTATTGGTAATTGATACGATACAGTGAGTTGGTGTAGTCGATGGTGTGACTTTCACGTAAGATCTTATAGATTAGGGAGTTATATCATGACAAATCTACAAATTTAGGATTAGGTCTATTATTAGAGCAGTACTAATATCATAGTAGACCATATATATATATATAATTATCTAGCTAGCTATTACTAAGCTTATTACCGTTTTGCTGGAGGTCGTACTAACTTCGTATAACCGGTTGACTAAAAAACTGTTTGAACACCATCTAATTATTCCTAGAAAGATCACATAATTATCTTTCTATCAGTTATTTTCAAACTGTATTATTAGTTATAGACACAATAAATACTAAATAACTGTTGTAGGACCTTGGTCGAAACACTGTATTGCATAAGTAACACGAAACGCTAACAAATTCATTAATAACTGTGTTTATAAACACAGCATACTCAACCACTTGCTTTATTTACAAAATTCGGACAAATTCGAAGAATCCGACACTGTTTATCTTACAGGCGATACAAATATGACTGGATCCAATTTATGAAAAATTAACCAAATCACAATGCACAACCTGATTTAGAACTAACGTATGTATATGATAACAACACAGTGCGCGGTGATTTTTCATACGTTTAAATTACCGCACAAATCAATATTATGATTTTCGCGAAGTTTTTATTCTCTGACAATGTGTGTGAATCAGTAGTAGTAGTGATGGTCTTGCAATCAATCAAAAAAATATGCCCATTTACATTTCATATATATATAATTTAATTCTGTCGCAACACAAAGAATACGCGTAAATCTTTCCGTTTGTTTATTTAACTTTTTTCTCAGTTAAAAACATCAACAGAGAAAAAAGTTAGTAGGTCATTTATTTATCATAAAAAATATATGGTTTTCAACAAGGCTGATAAATTATAAAAAAAACTTAAGCGTATGCAAATTTAAGCACACAAGATGACAGGATTAATAAATATATATATATATATATATATATATATATATATATATATATATATATATATATATATATATTTCGTGGTAGACAACCATTTAACAAATGAAGGAATCTTTTACGTTGTTTTAGGCCTCTATGCAGAAACAATGTGAATATTTGACATCAATATTGAATATAATATCTAAAAATAATTTACAATTTACTCCTATAATAATATGCGATAGTTGTTATAAAGACAATAGTGGTTTGTTTAAATGTCAATCTGAAGTGATTCGCAGAAGAGCATGACCTCAAAATATAGTGGCATTTAGTTGCAAACGACATAAAAGAGACATAAAGGCGGTGATTGCAGGTAAGTGTTAAAATGAATAATTTGAGAAAAATTCAAATTTTCATTGGGTGAACCGTTGCAATTTGTTCAACGTATTTTCTTCATGACAAAATGATATCTCAGTAATCACTGAAAACCAGAGGGCACTCCACACAATCAATTCAACTTAATGATAACTGTGTCCTCATTATCAAATAACTTGGAGATGAATTACTGAAGTTCGAGTGGAAGGATCTGAGTGGTGAAATTTAAATATATCATTGATACTGAGTATCGATCATACCATACAGTGAACTGACCGAAATTAAAAGTGGAGACCAATCTATTTTAAATCACTGCTTTAAAGATTTCCGTGTAACCTGAGTCCCATACTAGAATGAAATATTCGTCTAATGTCCCTTGACTTTCAATGACTCTCCAACTAGCGTTAGTCTATAATACAAATAACTGTTCCGATTTTCATTTTTTTTAATGATGAAAGACTGAAACAAATTAGTCATGAATTACAATTACCCTGTTCTCTTATGTGTATATATGTTATATTAAAAAGCTTTCTCATAGGATAATACCATTATTTATTTAAATTGCGAACCAGTAATTAACATTTTTATGTTTTGAAAGTTATTAGGTACAGTGCTTTGACGATTATCATTACTTAAGCACCGACTAGTAAATCGAAATCAAATAACCGACAGGAAGTGGCTTTATTAAATGCCAACATTTAAATGTTTTGAATGACAAGGTGACATAGTTCGAACAGTATTATTGGATAGTTTATTATGTTTTTGGATCAATCAGAGTAAACTGCCCAAACATTTTCTAAGTTAAGGTTTGTTATAAAATACATCTATAATAGTATTTCAACCAAATTACAACACTTCTCAAACATAGAGCTAAGTGAAATCTAAAAAACCTTAAACTACAATGTACCAAGAGGAAAGAGTAGTTCTAGTATATTGTTTATTCGTGTTAATCAGTCAAATCCGTTAGTTATTATTGTATCAACCTACCCGGCTACATCACCCACACATAGAGAGTATTACACGACATGATAGCCCATAACCATTTGTGTTTTGTCGAGAAAATTAGATATACATAATAGAATGGCAGCAAATCATTTCTGCTGAGACAATCAAACAATGAGGATATATATGCATACCCGTGAATACAGTACGCGCACTTAGTTGTAAATATTTACTGGTATGTTACCATTGTTTTATGTTCTTAGCAATATTTGAACCGCCTTACACTTTACTGTCCGTTAACGATTATTTCTAATGAAATTAACAACACTTAGTAATAATAATAATAACAATAATAAGTGTATGTTGGATTATTGAAATGTGTTAAGAGAAGGTTAGGAAGTTGAGGAAGGAAATACAACAGAATAATTATTCCAATCGTCTATACACATGCTAGTGTTATAGAATGATGATACTCAGATAGAAAAATTTAGTCATCGGAGTTGAGGCAGGAATTATCATTTAATCAAAAAGACTTGAAAGAAAGCTGATCGACTTAGTATGAATGAAAATGAGAAAAAACAAAATATTGCATGAAAATAAAATTGGAATTGGTTGTATTCTATTTAAAGTGGGTTATTTTTGTGGTAAATCGTTAATCATAACAAATAAGTCGTGTCCGCTGAAATCAATTCATGTGAGTACTACTTTAAAAGTACGTGCAGTTCATCGGCTCTGGTACACGAGCATGTGTTTATGCAATTTACTTAGCTTTATTTATTTGCCTATTAAAAACACAAAAAGAGAGTAAATACAGACAGACAGATAATGACTGTTGAACTGACCCATGACCTCCTTTTTCACTGAATAATTCATGGAAAGGAAATTGGCGATCAATATCACGACGTATTTGATCACAATTAACTGATGTCCCTTCTTGTAAGCAATAGTTTGTATATAATTTCTCTGGATCTAAATCAATCGATGGGACAAGTGTAGCTCTGGGATCATCATTATCGTATTCTGTTAGAATATCACCACTTGTTTGGTTAGAAAACACATCAATATTTCGTGCAATTCGATGTAAAATTGGTGATGATGACGATCCAACAGATGATGATATTAAAATGGAGGTACATGAATCTGTGGATGATGCTTCGTGAATTTGAATTTCGTTTTGAAAATGATTTGTACTAGAACTATCTGTACAAGATGTCGTACTAAGACTAGCATAACCACCGGAATTTCTAGTAGTTGTAACATGATTTGATTTTATCATATCAGTAGTATCAATATGTGATTCTGGTGAACATGATTTACCATGAACAGATGCAATTGTTGAATAACCTGAATTAGGTAATGCTGATTGGTTAAACATTGAAGAATTAACATTGTTCAATGCACTAGAAGGTAAATTATGAAGACTGCTATGAGTTGTACCGGATATCGATCGAATGGATTCGCTATTGAAAGTATTTCGTTGCCACGGTGATATTCTTTGAGTATTTGGACTCTCGTGATTTTGTAAGGAAAGAGGTAGTGCTGAAGGATATCGACAGCTATCATGTGAATCAGGAATAACATCTTTAACCCTACTAATGCGTAAAGAATGAAAACTAGACCCTTGACTTAACACAGTACTGTCAGTGCTGGAAGATAGAAAACAAAGGATATTATTAATACACCATGTAAATTACCTAGACAGTGAAGACATAAAATACAAAATTTACTTAAACAACATATCGCATTGATTTTTCTAACAGGATGACATAGATCCCGAAGCACTAACTACCTATCTAGATTGTATCGACAATGATTTTTGAAGTCTGTAATAACTTTACAATTTAAACAACCTGCTTAGGAAACTCAACACCTCAAAAATCCTTTCGTCATTCAAAAATTTAAATCAATATCTTAAAACCATATAACGTTTCAGTCATATCGAAGAGGATTTAAGCGAAGTCGGACTTTCATACTTATCCAATTAGGAATCATTGCTTACCGTTTTATTGTACAAATATCAAACACTTGGATTCTTGTATTTTTATATTCTCCTATTTATAGGTTTCGTTTGATCGATAAACCATTATAATGTTTTAACTCCTACAGATTTATTATTCATTACTTTTTATTGCTTTATTTTCATCTCGTTTATAATTGAGTTGTGTATATATAATAACTTTCTATTTGTGCTGAAGTGAGATCAGGTATGAGTTGTGAGTCGGACAAGAAAATAAAACTGCTACCATAATAAACAGACTGATGACACAGGCCAATAATCGGCAATACTATAACATGTGAACGAACTAATTAGATCTGAGTTAGAAAGTCTTAGATCTTGAGATGGTGGAGAAGATTTGTAGCTGAGGTGGATGATTTTGGTGGAGTTTTGTTCTCTGAGCTGGATGGTTTGGTCGTGCAGCTTTCATCGTTCTTCTGAACGACATTATCAGCACAAACTTCAAAACTTCACGAACTCATGATATCCTTCGACGTAACAGCACTGTTCACCTCAACTGAACCACAGTTAGCAAAAGAAACTATATCCCTGCTGCTCAACAACGACACAAATCTCAATAAATACACGAAGCTTCAAATTCAAAGTCTACTGGAACTCATCGATTTATGCCTAAAAACATATTTTCAATTCAAAAACAAAATCTACGAACAAACGAAAGGGACACCAATGGGATCACCAATATCAGGACTGATCGCAGAGGCAGTGATGCAAAGACTAGAAGCCACTATATTACCAGTGATCAAGCCAAAAATTTGGATTCGCTATGTAGACGACACCTTCGTCATCGTAAAAAAGAATGGACTGGAAAAAACTTACAAACTGATCAACAACGTTTTCAATGACATCAAGTTCGCAATGGAACAGGAGTCAATCAACCAACTAGCATTCTTGGATATATTGATCACTAGAACCGACACAGGAAAACTGGAAACTCAAGTATATAGGAAACCGACCCATACAGATCAAATCCTCAATTACAACAGCAACAACCCAAGAGCTCACAAAATAAACTGCGTACACACATTGTTCAAGAGGGCGAGGACACACTGCAGCACACTGGCAGCACGAAAAAGTGAAGAGAGATACCTGAAGGACATATTTCAAAAGAACGACTACCCAATCAACTTCATCAAAAAACACCAACCGCACGCAGCATCAGAACCCAAGTCAAGCACAGAAATCAACAAAAGGATCACCCTACCATACATACAAGGAATATCAGAAACCGCAACGAGACTGCTGAAAACCTTCGGGATAGGTGTGGCACACAAACCGACAAAATCACTACAATCAATCCTATGCAAACCAAAGGATGAAATAACAAAAGAAAACAAATCGAACATCATCTACAAAATAAATTGTACCAACTGCGACAAACACTACATCGGACAAAGCGGACGCCCCCTCCACCTTCGCCTACATGAACATCAATTAGCAGTCAAACGCCATGATATCTCTTCACTTATATCAATGCACATGGATAACTACGGACACTCATTCGATTGGAAAAATGTAGAAATCTTAGACAGAGGAAACTCCAAAAACACCAGAGAATTTTTAGAAGCCTGGCATTCAGGTTAATCAGCAATCAACAAACATATTGGAATCAATCCAATTTATCAACCAATCAGGAAAATCATGCATAAATATAGGAACAAAAATCAAACCAATGGGAGACAAGCAAAACAAAGAAGTAAATTTAAGGTCAATAAGAACCAATCAACATCGAGGTGCACAGAACGAGCTGTGAAACACATATTGAGAAATTCGAACACTTCACTTCTATCTGAAGTTTGTGCTGATGATGTCGTTTAGAACAACGGTGAAAGCTCCACGACCAGAACATCCAGCTCAGAAAACAAAACTCCACCAAAAGTCTTAGATCTTGGCGCGAAATTCATTCATCTATATGGCCAAATAGGATTTTCGCATTATAGCTGATCTCAGTTTGTAATGAAAACTTCAACTCTAATTTATCAGCACAATTTTTAACTCTAGATATCGATTCTATTTTCTTACACTAATTTCTAACCTTTTTAAACCCTACTTTGGCGTCGCTCAAGGGTCATCCACAAATTATAGTCTTGCCCAATAATCTTTTCCTTCTCGTTATACGAAAACAGGATGACTTTTCTAAAAGCGAGCTGAAACAACGAACACAAGCTATGTAGAGACGATCCATTTAAGATGTATGTATATATGGCAACAGAGATTGCTTAATTACAGTCCTGAATATCAACAACAGGAAATTAAAAATTCTCACAAAAGTAATACAAGTTCACCTGAATTGTCCCTTATTTTATCCTTGTTTAACAAAACAACAAATATTCCACTGGTCATTGAGGCTACAGGTGAATTAATGAGTCACTAATGATAACTACTACCATCATTATCATTATTACTACTAATACATTAATTCTTTTTTCCCTTTATTAATAAAGTGAATTGCAGAATGATTCCTATCCCCTATTTACTGTTCAACATGATTATATTTCATGGAACAGGTAGAATTCATTCTTATGGATCACACATAGAGGAACCAAAACTAACTAACAAAAAGACGACAATGAATATTTGATATCAAATTTTGATGGCAAAAGAATTAACCAAATAAGCAAGAAAGAGGGAAAGGAGGAGGAGGAAAGGGGATGGAAAGGCAAGGACAAAGATAAAGTACACTCAATCAACAATAGTAATAAAGGAAATAAAACAGAAGAAACAGTTTTCTGTTTTCTTTTTTCAAAAATGAGTCATTCTTTTTGCCAGACAGATCGATTGGACGACCACTACTGATAGACAAAATATGCTTTTATATTGACAACAGCCAAAAAAAATCGTAAAGTGACTACATACATATATATAAATATGCATGAAAAAAATGTTTCAGTGAGATAAAGGGAATCACGACAAATAAGTTTGAAATTTTCTGTTTTATGTACATACAACCAGTAAAAATAGACAAATAGGAGACAAATACTATATTTTGATCACAATGGGGGTTTGTGGAGAGTCCATGATTCGATGTAAGCTTGACCACCATTGAAAGCCTGGAAGTACTTGACAGCCATTTTGTCCTAGTATGGAACTCCTCAACGGTGAACATCCACGGTCTCGAACCCGGGACCTTCGGTCTGGCGCGTGAACGCTTCATCTCTGGACCACTGAGCCATCATCCATCGGTATTAATGTCTACAATCGACCCATGCTCTTCAGAAACTGTTCATCCATTGTCTGAGGTAGATATCTGTCTCTACCCAACAGGAGTCGCATACTAGGACGAAAGGATCATCCAGTGCTTCTAGGTTTTCAATGATGGTCTAGCTTACATTGACTCATGAATTCAACAACTAAAAATACTATATTTAACAAAAAATGTGTAATATAAATCTAGGACTGTAAGTAAAATAAGTTTGTTACCGTGGAAATATGTAATGATTACTTGTACTGGGTTTTTAGATCAAATGGAATTACATGATAGATGGAAGACTTTTGAACAGTTCGACCTAATGCTATTTAGTCACATAAACGAGTTATAAAGCAATCTACTGAGAAGCAAAATTAAAAGCCATTCTACATTACACACCCAAGTAACGCATCTAAAAGAATTAAGTTTAAACTTCTCCTGCTGGCTTGATTGGTCGCAGACTGAATAAATCAATAACTACCACCATACTGTAGTAGCAGTAGTAACAGTTAAAGTACATTTAGTCATCACCACCTATATTTCACTTCAACACAAATTATTTTTATCTATATGAGAATAGACTACCTATCATTCACTACATTTTTACGCATAAATTTCGTATTTGAACTAGCAACGAAAAGAAGAGAAATAAGGAGATATTGTCATGAAAAAATATCTGGTTACTCTTTTACAGAGAGAAAACTTGAAATTTATTTGTGTTGTCTTACATCAAAATGTTCATTTTCTACAATATTAATAGACGTATATGCATGCAAGTCTAGCTGATTACAAAACAAAGTAGTAGTACACATCAATAATATATATATATATATATATATATATATATATATATATATATATATATATATATTAAAAGTAGAAGATACTCGTAAGTTACTAGTATTTGACCACAGATGCCTTAGAAATATTGCTGGCGTCTGCTGGGATCACCGGGTAAGTAATAGTGAGGCTAGACGCAGGGTATTAGGAAATGATGTTAAGTCAGTTGATGAGCTTATGAATCTTCATCGACTGAGATGGTTGGGCCACGTATTACGTATGCCTGAACACCGATTACCGCGACGTGCAATGCTAACCGGTGTAGGGGATGGTTGGAAGAAAGTTAGGGGCGGCCAAACCAAAACGTGGCATCAGTGCCTGAAGTCACTAACTTCTAGTCTGAGCCATGTTGGTAGATGCAGACTACTTGGTTGGGGTCCGCGTGACTTTCGTAACCAATGGTTGGAGACCCTTGGTGACATGGCTCAGAATCGATCACAATGGCGTCGGTGTATACACTCTCTGTCTTCTCTTAAACTAAGAGATTAAGATCACTTCACATCTTTCTTTCTACGAACTAATTCTTTCTTCCTATACTATATCCTTATTGCAATCTTTCTCTTATATATTACCACCTTTGACCTAACCACTCCTATGAATCCAGTGTTCATCTTGCTGTGCTAATGAGGTATGGCAACCTGGGCCAATGCATACATGTGCCTGGTCCTACGTTGTAACTGACTGACTGACTGACTGCTAATGAGGTGTGGCAACTTGGACCGACCATATATATATTAACGACACAATAATATACGATGTTGAAGTATAATTCATGCAAAGTGAAGAAAGCTAAACAGAAAACGAACTGAATCACAAAGCACATGAAATAAGGCTCAGGAAGAGTAAAAATGTACACTAAATGTAGTGATATTTTCATTGAAATATTTTATAACTAAGACAAGTAATATCGTACAGTTATTGCAATCACGTAAGCACTGATAAAATGAAAAAAATACACACACGTACACAATCAACATGGATATACTAAAGAAAAAGCATTTACTTACCCGTGCAACTTTCGAAATAAAAGTTTGCGTCTGTTTAATTAGAAAAAAAGAGATGAGAGATAACGAGGAATCTGATAGAGAAAAGAAATATTTAAATGGAGCTCAGCTCAATTTTAAAACAGGCCAAAAGCTGTCATTTAACTAGGAGACTATATATATATATATATATATATATATATATATATATATATATATATATATATATATATATATATACCATGCAGCCTTTGAATATACACAGGCTTAACTTGAAGGTTTAAGCAATCAACTTAGCACAACAGAATCATAGGTTAGATACCTACCCCAATTATGGTGGTCTAGGCAACTAGATTAATATGAACTCATCAATATCTGCCGTCTACAATTCTACCATTGATTGGTTTATCATCGTTCTGTAGATAATCAGTCGATAAGTGAATGATCTAAGGCTTATAATATATGGAAGTATATTGTTTTCGATGAAATAGACTCAATTAGTGAGTTGGTTACTACTACTAGTCCTAATCTCATAATTCTCTATCATCAAACAAATCAATAGTCAGTAAAACATTTAGATCGATCATTTAAAAATAGATTTTTCAATGAAACGAGACTAAAACGGAAAAAAAGAATGCCAAAAAAAATAAGTAAATTTGCAATGACAAAATTGAACAGAAAAATAATTTAGAAAATGTCAAAGTAATGTGAATTTATGTTCTAACCAAAAAAATAATTGAAAAGAGAAATTTTGATCGATCAAAGTTTACATTTGATCGCTTTACATGACATACAAAAACTAATTGATTTCCGAAATAAGTATACTCTCAATCATGTAATCCAATTACGGTAACTGTAAAAAATAACCTCAAGTTTACTTTAAGGACAATTTGTGAAAACTTAACAAAATATACACACAATAGAGATACATACACAGAACATAATAGAAATGTGTAAGAATGCACTGTGTAGATAAAAAACAAGTAGATATCGCTACTTAAACCTTTCGTTTGTTAGATGGTAAGAGAATATAAAGTCGATGGTATGCGGAAAAGAGTAGACAAGTCAAGCTTAAATTATGTCAGTCGACGAAAAGGTATCAACACAGTATTAAAGAAATAGGATGACTTAAAAAGCGATTGATACAAGAAAAAAGTATTATTTTTTTGTAATGATTTATGCGCTTGAACACTAAGCTCATTATAAGTTGTTTGAGTAAGAAAAGAAAATGTAGTCTACTGTCAAGATTGAAACTATGTATTTAATACAGAGATGAAACTAACTGAATTGAGATAGATAACCATTATTAATTGGGTGAGGAGAACGATTAACACTAAACTACTTTTACGACTGAAAATTTACCCCGATGTTCATTTTATATATTAGTAGCAATATGTTGGGATTTCGGTGAGATAGATTCCCAATTCTAAAATTCGGGAATTATGTAGTATCGTCACCTAGAAAGTAGTTTAAATAATGTACAAGCGTTCTAAGAACAACACAATTCTACATTTTATGATTTAAAATATATTCAAAAAGTTATCCCAGTTTTCTCAAAATCGGGATCCTAAGTACGTGTTGCAGTCCCCTCTGTTCAGACCCCATGTCTAATCAAACGATAAGCTTTTCTAAGTAAAACTTGCTTTCTTCGAAACCTATATACAATACCTAAGTGTAATTATTCACTTAACTATACCCAACTGGTGTGAAGAACCAACATGATCGACTCTTCTTATTTCCAAAGAACTGTTAACGACTCGTGATTAAGTTGATGTAAGTACAGAATTAAGTTTGAAAGAACGGAACTTCAATCAAATATCGCTTGTATGCTGAGTGGTTGAATGAAAACTTACGAACTAGAAAATGAAGGGATACACTTCATTATCTTTAGGAGCTTGTATTTACATCCCCGATGAATTCATCCAACATGAAATAGGTGAGTTCTAAGGTAAATTCTCCGGACTTAGTGGGAAGAACTAGGGAATCAGAAATATTAATAACAGAGAGTTGTTTCAACGTCTATGTTGGCTGAAAAGCACTGGAGTAGAACTTTAGGACATTTTCATACTGAACAAAGTTTGAAACAAATTAGCAAAAAACAAAAAAATGCGTTCTTAGACGTATCTTTATGTAAGTTTTCCACCTTTTCAATTTATAATTCTGTTATATTATTTCATGGTGTATGCTATATCAACTTTACTTATAATACGAAAATACTTTAGTATGCGTTGGAGCAATAAGAAATGTGTTGCTTGCTTTGTATTCTAACTAAAAATAAACGGCGAATCTTTTGGTAAGTTAAGTATAGAACATTCGTCTTTATAAAATGATCATAGCAACTTAATAACATGCGACCTCATATATATATATATATATATATATATATATATATATATATATATATATATATATATATATAACACGTGGGTTCTTTCCACTTAAACAATTACAATCGTGATCATGAACCGAAGAAAAGAATAACATACCAATTATAAACAGCAAGTATTGTCACAATGCATTAACCATAAATCACATGATGCTGTGTTTCTTTACTCTTCTTTTGATTAATAGTCAATACTTTAGAAATTTTAAATTCACGGTTAGTTCAACTACGATTGGTGATTAACTCATAAAAGTTTCGTTTCAAGCATAGTATTATACCATTCAACATTAGTATCAGTAGGCAAGATATGTTGAATCCACGTATATATCGACGTCCATCGCAACGTCTTACTAAGTTGTTTGGCGGGACACTACTTATACAACTGCCTGTTAGAATTTATTTGAAGTGCATTGACAATCACGTGGTTTGCCTAGTCCTAACATGTAACTTTAACGGAATTGGTCACTGGGTTCCAGGACTATTCAAAAATGATTTCTAAAGTAACGAAACTAAGCTACTAGGGTCAAGCGAATAAATAAACGTTATTTGAGCGTTTCAACCAATAAAAGTCTGGTGCTATTAGATGGTTGGAGGTTACCATCAGAAAAACCTAGACTTGAATTTTATATTGGTTGGTACTCTTTGGCAAGATTTACAACCATGAAGGAATCGATAATCATTCAAAGATTCTAACCGGCGTCTCCTAGTGCCACAGTCAGTGATGTTACTAATGACAGTTTATTTTTTCGTTCGTCGATACGGTTAGATGTGGTCGGTTCAGAAATAACCCAATCATCTAGGCAATGTCTTCAATTTATTTTTTGATAACACTAAGTAAGCATCTTCACTAGGTAGACAGTTTCATTTAGGAATCAACAGGTCACATGATAGGTATTCATTATTGACCATCTGAACTACGGAAGAATAGATTCTTTAATTTGCAGGTACGTCTACAGTGTCGGCTAGCAAGACGAATGGGTCCAGCGATTTTCTGCTATGTTCAACCACGTAACAAGTTAAATATCTAAGTAGGAAACATGTCACTATTTGCATTTCACCGCACCAATCAGAATACAAAGTTGAAAATATTACTCGGTGAATTCAGTAAAACTAAATATCAAATAATACTTAACCTCATAAACTAGAAATTGCTATTTTAAATAGCCCACAATAATATGTAGGTTTCTATTTGGCTTTAGTTATTCAACATATTAAATGTTATAATTTACTAAATAAGCCTATCAGTCAGTCAGCTACAACGTAGGGCCAGGCACGTATATGCATCGGCCTATACTAAATAACAATTATTAAGGCGTAAATTAAAATGAATCACAATAAATGAACGTTAAAAGGTATCAATTATAGCTATTATTATTATTATTATTATTATTATTATTATTAAAGTTTATTGATTCTTCACGGAATTATAAGGACATCAACAAGATAATATTATTCAGTGTAAATTAAAATAAATTTATGCATACATAACACGAACTAATATATCATACACAAATATATGAGTATACAAATAGGGAGACATGAAACAAATATTTAATAATTTAATCATTCCTGTTAACATCAGGTCGAGAATCGTGCAAATCAAGGTATTAAAAACTAAGTAATATACCCATAGAAATGTTAATAATGATGACACTAAACAAGAGATCCATTCAAAACTTAGTCTGATTTGTAAATACAGGCGATCAAGTGCAATGCAGTAGCAGTATAAACAAAATAAGGGAAAATGACAACATTAATTCTAGGTTGAATGCTGCGAATTTTACAAATATAATTTACTGTTTAGTATCTTTTAAGCATTTGTCTTTTTATCCGGAAAAGTTCGAATACCAAGATTTTGTGCAGTCAAAATGCCTTTGTACTAAGGTTATTTTAATACATTAGTCTAATGAATCAGAGATATTTAATGAGTTAATAGATGACTACAATTAGTTGGAAATTTAGGTGCTGTAGAGTTAATTAGTACAGAACATTCTCAAAAACGATTTTTTCGCACATGAAGTCTTAACGTTCGATTTACACGTGAATTATTTTATAAAATGCATTTCCCCATCGACCATGTAGAAAACGGCTTTACTAACTAACCAATCTCACTACATCATACAATTTATTAATAAACATACCATAACTAAATAAAAGTTTAGAATAAATAACGCATGGCATAAACTATTTGACTATCAAGCAATTTGAGGACCCTGAGAGGTATTTAAAGGTAGATATACAAGCTGCAAGTCACACATTATTATTAGTGATCTAAAAGTACCACTTGGAGTACATATATGCCATGTGAAACAATGGCCATAAAAACATTATATAGACTTAAAACTAACCTATCGTCTTCTTTAATTTGACTAGTACGAAAACTTGGGAAGTGATAACCATTTGTAAACTTTTAAAATTTGTTCGATTTGATAATGTGCCAAAACGATGCCTAGGAAATTTACTTTTACTACTATGATCAACACTTTGACTAGTTCCTGTAGTTGTTGTTTTTGTCTCGACAGTTTCATCACATGTAATTCGTTGACGTTGAACAAGTACCATTGGGCTTGCACAAAGTCGTTGCCATGCTTCACAACGAAATGAATCAGGAATTCCTTTTCGACATCGATCACGTAGCTTTGATGGTATTTAAAATACCATAAACTCCAATTAGAGCACATTTTCCTCCATTTTAACTCTCGTGAACGTATAACCTCGATGGGAAACACGATCTTCTCTAAAAATATGTAAAAAATAACTGAAATGCTCTTCAGAAAATATCAAGAAACGAAATAATTAGTCATTCTGTGATCCGAAAAATCTAAAAAACGTTGTTCCGTAAACTCGAATTATTAACATTGACCGTGAAGTTGAACTCATAAAAGCTAAAGGGAACAGTATTAATAATCATACTCAATGACGAAAAAGAAACAAAGATGAAAAGAATTCCTGATACGGGTCTTTTCGGTATTAGCAGTTTGCTGGATTTTAATTTTTAGATGTTGACGAGAAAATTTTGTTCGTACTCTATAGAACAATCAAAATCTGTACAGCAAGGAAAGATGTGAAGTGTTTAGAGTTAATCCTTACAATTCAAACTTTAACAATGATAAAAAGCTGATCTTTCCGATCAAGCTTGTTGTAAAAACAGCTCATTTTGACAACTGTACGATTTCATCTTACAATGTAGATATTCATTATCTGACAGTTGCCTAGTTGCCCCAAAACTACCATCGATTTATCTGGTAATAGAAGGTCCAGGAATAAGCGATACAGTCAATATATCAACTAGATATCTGAGAAGAACAAGTTCCAGTGGAAAATAAAAGCAGTAGCTATTAACTGGGCTGTTACGATAACGGACAAGAAGTATCGTAAAGAAATATAGTATCTGAAGATCAACGAAGTTTGTTTGTATTGAAAAAGTAATTAAAACAAAAGCGAACAAATAAACGCACTCTAAATAATGCCCCCTGAATGCCCTGGTACGGCCGAGAGTGGGGAGAGTCCGCTCTCCCTCTCGAAATACTCTCACACGGCCACGCGTATACAGCCTCTGCCAGGGAAGTCCTACTCATTGCCTTCTCGTGGCGGGGGTGTTGTCTACGAAAATGAGAGGACGAAAAGCGAATGTCCGGCGCTTTAACCGGATTCCAAATCAATGGTGCACATGGGCTCCAGTATCCTGCGGGAACGAATGGCGTATGAACCAATCGTTGGTCACCGGCTACCATGGGACTGCATCTCCTTACGATGCTCCACTGCCTTGTGGGTTAGACCTTTAGGTCAAAGGCTCGGGGAGTGGCCCCCTAAGATAACCACCTGCTTCGGTTTGGGCACCCGGGCAGTATCACAGCCCACACACAAATTGATGAACTCTTTATGCCTATGGAAATTACCTTTCTCGCTTTGAAAAACAAACAATTGATTCAGATTATTATCATTACAATTATTGTCATTATTAATACTATTATTATTATTACTACTATTATTGTCATTATTATTATTATTATTATTATTATTATTATTATTATTATTTTCCACATTATTCACCCTCTTTTATACTTATACAGCGGCTCGTCTTTGGTGGAAATCCGACTGTATCTAAACGTTCTCGAGTCACTGTCCGGTTGAAAATTGTATGTTACCACCGAATACGAGGACTGAAGCAGATTTTCTGAAACCACGTGCACCATTCAAACTGGCTGCCTTCAACGTTCGCACATTTATGCAGGTCGGACAACAGATAGGGCTGGCTATGTCTTTGGAAAGTCTTAATATCGACGTTTGTTGTCTATCCGAGACCCGTATTCAAGACTCTGGCGAAGTACTACAAATTCGATCTCCATCTGTCGCTTCGAAAAGCTTGTTTTACGTGCGCTTATCCGGGGACCCTGTGGCATCTTCGTCTGGTCTTGCTGGCGTTGGTGTCGCACTAAGCGCTAGAGCTGAGGCAGCACTAGTCGATTGGATCCCCATTAACAGTCGGTTATGTGCTGTTAGATTAGAAAGTTCCATCAAAGTGAGAAGAAATCGGCGTGAGAAACGATGTCTTTTCGTCATCTCCGCCTATGCCCCGACAGATTGCAGCCCGGATGCAATCAAGGATGAGTTTTACCACCAGTTATCAGTTCTTCTCCAGAAAGTGCGTTCGACAGATATTGTAGTACTAGCCGGAGACTTGAATGCTCAGGTCGGGCGTCTAGGCACAGAAGAGAGTCGTTTAGGTGGCCGATGGGGACTCGTTGGTCGCAGGTCAGATAACGGGGACCGTCTACTGCAACTTTGCACAGACCACAACCTGTTTCTGGCTAGCACTAACTTTCGGCACAGTCATCGCCGATGTGCCACCTGGCGTCCTCCCTCTGCATCTCAAGCCTGGACTCAGATTGATCACATCGCGATCAGCTACCGCTGGCGTGGTTGTGTAAAAGACTGCCGCTCCTTTTGGAGTACCTATCTGGACTCTGACCATGCCTTGGTCTGCGCCAATCTTGCCTTACTTTTCAGTGGACAACGAAGTGACGCCATCAACGGATTGATGTTAGCAAGCTGGTTGCAACTTCTGTTGCAAGTAAGTATCGAACCGAGCTAGCCTCTAGGCTAGCTACCACTCCACCGAAAAGTATAGATGAGCATTGGTTGCAATTGCATGACGCCATGAAAATGGCGGGAACAGTCAGTTGTGGGTTTGCGAAACGTCCCGCTTTTAAGCACTGGGTTTCTTCTGGTTCCTTACAACTCATTGAAGCCCGTCGGTCTACTCCGGGTGACCGTGAGTTTGACCATAAACGAAGGATGTTACGTAAGGAAATTGGGCAAAGCTTGCGTAAGGACCGAGAAGCCTGGTGGTCGATGCGTGCTAATGAGCTGGAAGCAGCAGCTGCATCTGGTAACTACCGGAAGCTCTTCCAGCTCATCCGAGCCACTGGCAGCAAGAAGTCTGGTGTGAGTGAAACAATCTGCGAGGATGATGGGATGCCAATCACTAACATCCATCGACGTCTTGGACGATGGGCAGAATTTTTCGAAGGGCAGTTCAACTGGCCTGCTGCTCCGGCAACATCGGTCAGACTGTCCTGCCCTCCATGGCCGGTGACGACTGATCCACCAAATGAGGAGGAAGTCCGCAAGGAACTCCAACTCTTGAAGCGTTACAAATCACCTGGCCCAGATGACTTACCTCCGGCTCTTTTTAAAGATGGTGGTGACTTTTTGACTAAGGAATTGACGACGTTGTTTACAAAGGTTTGGGAACTAGAGTGTGTACCAACGTCATGGAATGAGTCGATAGTTGTCCCTATCTTTAAAAAGGGTTCACGTCGTTCCTGTAACAACTATCGGGGGATAAGTTTACTTCCGATTGCGTCCAAGCTATTGGCTTCCGTCATTCTTCGTAGGTTGTTCAAAACCCGAGAAAGATTGACTCGCGAGGAGCAGGCTGGGTTTCGTTCTGGTCGAGGATGTATTGATCATATCTTCACCCTCCGCCAAATGTTAGAACACCGCCATACTGTCCGAAGGGAAAAAAAAAAAAATTTCTTGACATCAGGGCTGCCTTCGATTCGTTGGACAGGACTGTTCTCTGGGATTGTCTATTGAAGAAGGGTGTGCCTGAGAAGTTTATTAACATCCTAAAAGCCCTATATAAAAACACCTCAGGCAGAGTGAGGGCATACAACCACCTCTCTCCATTGTTCCATTCGAGCAGTGGGGTTAGGCAGGGTTGCCCAATCTCACCATTCCTCTTCAACTTTGCCATCGATGACATTCTGGAAACAGCTCTGATGAATGTAAGTAATGGTGGTGTGGATCTGTTGCCTGGAGAAAGACTTCTCGACCTTGAGTATGCGGACGATATTGTCTTACTGTGCGATAATGCCCAAGGCATGCAATCCGCACTTAATCAGTTGGCAATCAGTGTCCGTAGGTATGGTATGTGCTTTGCACCTTCGAAGTGCAAAGTACTTCTACAAGACTGGCAGGATTCTAATCCTGTACTCACCCTGGATGGTGAGCAGATAGACGTAGTTGAGAAGTTCGTGTATCTGGGTAGCTGCATAAGTGCTGGTGGGGGTGTGAGTGATGAGATCAATGCACGAATAGTGAAAGCCAGAGCGGCTTATGCCAATCTGGGCCACCTTTGGCGCCTTCGTGATGTTAGTCTGGCTGTAAAAGGTCGGATCTACAACGCGTCGGTGAGAGCAGTTTTGCTCTATGCTTGTGAAACCTGGCCTCTCCGAGTTGAGGACGTTAGACGACTCTCTGTGTTCGATCATCGCTGTCTCCGAAGGATTGCTGACATTCAGTGGCAACACCATGTCAGTAATGCAGAGGTTCGGCATCGTGTGTTCGGGCACAGAGATGATAACTCAATTGGTGTCACCATCTTGAAACACCGACTTCGGTGGCTTGGACATGTTCTCCGAATGTCGTCCCAGAGAATTCCACGTCGTGCATTATTTGCCGACTCTGGGACTGGTTGGAAGAAGCGGAGAGGTGGTCAGTGCATGACATGGTGTCGTGGCATGAAAGAAAGCTGCAAAGGACTGGCTTGTGTTGGTCCTTCACGACTCCCTGGTTGGGGTCCGAGAGATGGTGCTACACAGTGGCTAGAGACGTTATCAGATATGGCTCAGAATAGAAGCCAGTGGCGATCCTGCTGTAACCTTCTTTTACTTTCTTCATAAAAAGTGGTTGTGTCTCCTTTACCTGAAAGATTTCTTCTGATTGTACCTTTTCGTTCCGTCGTTACTACCACACTACCTTACTCCAATCTCTTCGTCATTGTTCTCTTTTTCTTTTGCGCTCCTTAGTTTTTTTTTCTACTTCTCTTCGAATTCTCATTGTTTTGTGTGGCGCATATATATTGGCGCTCTCTTGTACCAATATTCATGTGTTCAAATAAATAAATAAATAAATGCTTTGAAAAGGATAATAATTTTATGAGACGAAGGAAGTATCTCTGGTGCAGAATATTTGAGACGATGATACAATTTAATGCTACAATATACTCAAGACAAGATACGTGGTTTTATTATCAAGAGATTGTGAAGAACCAGTACATGAAGCCGAACTTTATTTTATTTATTTACTATTATTTACTTAAACACAGACATTGGTAAAAGGAGGCACCAAATACATATGCGCCACAAAAATCTCATTTGATATGTGTGAGGGCTGTGATACTGCCCAGGTGCCTAAACCGAAGCAGGTGGTTTTCTTAGGGAGCCACAC